CCAAGTAGGGCGGATGGAACCCATTACTTTATATGTTAATGTAAAAATTACTTTAAAGAAAGAAAAAGTCTGCCTGCCGGGCAGTGGTGGCGCACGCCTTTGATCCCAGCACTTGGGAGGCAGAGGCAGGCGGATTTCTGAGTTCGAGGCCAGCCTGGTCTACAGAGTGAGTTCCAAGACAGCCAGGACTACACAGAGAAACCCTGTCTCGAAAAAACAAAAAACAACAACAACAAAAACAAAAAAACAAAAACAAAAAACAAAAAAGAAAAGAAAGAAAGAAAGAAAAAGTCCCTGTGCCCCCATGCACCTTCCCCGGGCTCTCCCGACCTTGTCAAGAAGGTCACATTTTCACTAATAAGACCCCTTCACTCATGCCATGCACACTAAGTGCCTGGCTATCAGCGAAGCTGCCAGCTTGCTCTGCAAAGCCACTGGCTGGCTGGCTGGCTGTGTCTGGACCAGGCACAGGCTTGTTTTCAGTACCTACCAAACCAGGCTGCCCATTTTGAGTGTTTTCCTGCCACGCTGGCGAAAGCCCTATTATTCATCAAAGCAATCCCTAACTTGCCCCTGCCTTCAAGTCACAGCAGGTCCAAACCCAAGTTCTGGCAGAGTAAAGCCATCTTGCCAAGACATGTTTCCTTCCTACTGGTTAAAACAGATCCTCTTGTTCTGTCTGTTTTGAGACAAGGTCTCACTGGGTAGCCCTGGCTGTCCTGGCGCTCACTATGTAGACCAGGCTGGTCTCGAACTCAGATAAAGTTATGGGTCATCATACTTGCTATCATGCTCTTTTGGGAGGGGGGAAAAATCAATAAAACCAAACAAAAATGAATGGGTCGCCTTTCTTAACAATCCCAAGCTTGCTCCCCATCCAGTGAAAGTAATCCTTTATACTAAAGACCGCCCCTTCTAGCCTCCTGCGGTAGAGCTCACCTTTATTTCCAGCACTCAGGAGGCAGAGGCAAGCAGATCTAAGTTTGAGGCCAATATGGTATAAATGGTAAGACTCTTTCCAAACTAAGGAGGGGGGGTGGTCTTGCTTTAAATTACGTCATTAGTGCAAATCTCCCGGGAAGCCAGACTCAGAGAACCACCAGCACACAACTTCACAGAAGCACTTCTCACCTTTTCTCTTGAATCCAGTGTCCACGAAGAAGAGCTTTTCGTTTGGGGCCTCTGCCAACAAGCCACTGAAGGACAAAAATACAGACTATTTGCCAAAGTAATGCTGGAAAGATAACAGGCCTTCCTAAATGGGGTTTAATTTTTTGGACCCATCCCGACTCCCTCTCAAACCACGGGGTCCTTCTTAGGTTACATCTGGGGCTTTCCCACAGGATTTAAAATGTATCACGATGGGGTGCGCATACTTTATTCTCTTTCACTTGAAATTCAAACTTTGTGGCAAAAGGCTTTAAGCACTCAGGCGGCAGAGGAAACTGAGTTCTGAGCCAGCCTCGTCTACATACCGAGTGCCAGGCCGTCCAGAGCTACCTAGTTAGGCTCTGTTTCAAATTAAAAAAAAAAACTAGAAGAAAATTTAAACTTTGTTGGAATTTCTGCATACTTATTTGTTAAAGACGGAGCGAATATGTCTTCCACACCGAGCCGGAATTCCCGGTTTGTCTTGCACCGGGCCGCAGACAGCCAGACCAAGCCACCGGAAGTCCCGCCCCACCTACCCGGTCGTGCGCTCTTGTAGCCGTACGTCTTCCAGGAACTGGTCTACCTCTATCCCCAGCGGCTCCTCAGCGAGCCTCCTCCAGCCGCGCTTCTTGTTTCTGGGACCCCGCCTCCGCCGCCTCTGAGCGGGATCCACTGAGGTGGGTCGCAGCCCCAGGAAGCCAGAGTCCGCCCGGCTTTTCGAGCCGCTCTTCTCACCGCCCCTGTTACTACCCGCAGCCATCTTCTTAAAGGAAGAGCTTAGTGGCTCAGACTCCGATATCCGGTTTGGAACGTGCGCCACTCAAGTGACGTGTCTATGACGCACTTCCTGTTTGCGAGCATCTTGGTAAAGTGTAGTTTTACATAGTTTTACATCTTGGTAAAGGATAAATCATCCCTTTCAGTCTTTTTTCTTATGTTTTTTGCTTGTTTGTTTGTTTGTTTTTTGTTTTCAAGACGGGGTTTCTCTGTATAGCCCTGGCTGTCCTTTGACTCACTCTATAGACCAGGGTGGCTTCGAACTCAGCGATCTGCTTGCCTCTGCTTTCGGAGTGCTCCTATGTTTGCAACTTGGACCTGCAATTTCAGATTGGTAGGGCGTAGGATATGTGGATTCTTGGTTCTCACTCTGAGTAATGTACCTTACCTGCTACCATGAAATTTTACTCAAACAATTTTTTTTTTAATTACACAACAATTTCATTCGTGCCTTGCCATTTTCGCTTCTCATTGCTTTCTACTGAACCACCCTTCTTCCCCCAGAATGCCTTTCTCCTTTATGTGTTTGTAGTTGTTTTGTGAAGCACTGGATTTATTAGGATCGTTGTACCAGCATGAGATGAGTGAAGAGTTAGTTACTAGATCAGAGGCAACTGACCGGTGCCTGTGCCATTGAAGGACACCCCTCCTTCCCAAATAGTAATTGCCATGAGGTGGATCCAGTCAATTTTTCTTTAACTCTTTTATTAAAGAAGATGCTGGGCATGGGGCTGCTAAGATGCTTCAATAGGTAAAGGCTTTTGCTGCCAAGCTTCAAATTAATCCCCAAAACCCATATGATGGAAGGGGCCAACATCTGCAAGCAGTTTGTTCTCAACCTTCACAGGGTATGCTGTGGCATATGTGCTTACACACAGTTATGAAATATAATGTGGCAATATAATGGGTATTTTTGGAAGGCTTGAGAAGTTACACCATAAATCAGATCTAGTGTTTATTGGGGGAGGTAGTATTGGACTTGGGGAAGGGACAGAGGCAGACAGATGGGGAGCAGAGCCAAGGGGGCAGAGAAGGAGAGAGAAGGAACGCTGGCAGTGGAGAATAGAAAGCTAGGGTGGCAGGTGTGTCCTTCTATCTACTGCAAACACCTGGTGCATCTGGCTGCCGTAGATCACGATGTAAGCACCTCTGGGTGCCTGAGCGTAGGCCAGTGGAATTGCCTGTATACCACACACTCATACTAAAAGAAAAAAAAAAATTAGCTGGGTAGTGCTGTTCACGACTAACCCTACCTACCTACTCAAGAGGCACCGAGGCAGTAGGATGGCAAGTTCATGGGCCACCCTGGACAGCAGAATGAGTTCAGGGTAGGGGGACGGTCTCAAAATGAAAAACAAGGGTTGGGAAATGGCTCAATGGGTAAGAGGGCTTTCTGGGCAAACAATAAGGACCTGAATTTGAGTCCTCAAAACTTAACAAAAGTCCAGGCGGTCGTGGTGCACGCCTTTAATCCCAGCACTTGGGAGGCAGAGGCAGGTGGAAATCTGAGTTCGAGGCCAGCCTGGTCTACAGAGTGAGTTCCAGGACAGCCAGAACTACACAGAGAAACCCTGTCTCGAAAAACCAGAAAAAAAAAAAAACTTAACAAAAAAGGCTAAGTACTTGGCCTGGAGAGATTATTCAGCTGTTAAAAGCACTGGCTGCTCTTTCAGAGGACCCGGCTTCAATCCCCTAGGACCCACACAGTGGCTCACAGCTGTAACTTCAACTTCTTGGGATCCACAGACCTATGCATGCATGCACTCAAACACACACATAAAGGAAAATAAAGAGTAAACTTTTTTTAAAGTTCCAAACCTAGAATATTGGAAACTGAAGAACTTTAGGTAGGTCTAAACAGGACACACAGAACGTGACATTCAACCAAAATTAGATTCATACATTATTCAAAGGCTCAGGAGGAAGACTCAGAATCGTTGCTTTTGGGCAAAGTACTATGCAATGACTTAGTTTTCTTGGCTGTAAAACAGGAATAATAATGCTGTTTCTCTGAAAATAAACATTTAATACACATAAAGCACTTAGGGCGGTGCCTAGCATCTGAGTGCACACCAACTAACACTGCCTCCACACCCATCCCCATCTCCAGGCCCCTGGAAAGTGGTAGTTATCCAAAGAGCTCTACAAAGGGTTTTGTCTTTATTCTTGTTTTCCGGTCATGCTAAGAGTGAAAAGCTGAGCCCCGTGTAAGCAGGGAAAGTACTGAGCTTACGGCCCTAGCCACACCGCACATTTAGTGTATTTTTCGAGACAGGGTTTCTCTGTGTGGCCCCGGCTGTCCTGGAACTCGCTCTGTAGACCAGACTGCCCTCCGACTCATAGATCTACCACCTCCTCTGTCTACCGAGTGCTGGGATTAAAGGCGTGCGCAATCACTGCGCCCCCCAACCCCCACCCCAGGCTCAGATTGGCCTGCTGCGGCATGCTGGAATTAAAATGGACCTCTGTTCCGGACTCTTAAAGAAAAAAATAAGGCAAAGGGAGGGAACAGGTCTCGCTAGGGTCACACAGCCGAAATCAGCTCATCCTTGGGCAGGGTATTGAGGTGATGACCTGGCCTGAGTTACTGACTGCCTTCCCACCAGAGGGCGCTCAGGGCTGCGGAACAGGGCGTACATGGACGGGAAGCTCTTCAGTTCAGCAAGTCTCGGGCGCACCGGGTGTGGGCCGGGTCAGTGTCCTGTGCACTCCTACAATAATCCCTCCTCCCCCAGGACCCGGTGGTCTCGGGCTACAGGATCTACTCTGGTGCATTCGATTCGTGTGCTTTGGAGACTAAGGGCAAACTGTACACAGACTGGCACTGGCCCTCGTCCACGCCCAGGACTGGGTTCCCAGGCCCTGCGGCGGAAGGCGGGAGGGAGGGGTGTCCCAAGGGTGGGGAGGGCCCTGAGTAACTTTTCTTCGGAAAATATGCAGCACTGGCCCCCAGCCCGAGACTGAGTCAGCGCAGAGTTGAGTCACAAGCTGCACCGCCCCTGTGAGCCAGAATGGTCCCCCAGGCACCTCTTCCTTAGGGGTCCCCGCCCCAAGATAGCCTGACACCGACACAAACAGCAGCTTTGGCTTTATTGGCCCTGTAGGGGACACTCTTGGGTTTTCAGCCCTTTCTAGCTGTCCTCACCCCCCACCCCCCCCCCATCTTTTTTGTTTCCCACCAGGGTCATGTACTAAGGTGGTGAAGACAAAGTGTGTGGGGCCCCTGTAGAGAGGAGGAAAGGCTATAGCACCGAAAATTCCTAATCCTCCAGGATATCCATGAAAACCTGGGCTTTGGAAAAGCATCCCCTATTCCCACCCTGTGGTTTCTGTCTTTGATAGGGACTCTACTTAAATATGACCTGAAGGTGGGCAGAAGGGCCAGATACTTTGGTTCCCAATCCCACACGTGTGCTGGGGAGACTCTGGGCTCCGGGGGATGGAAGCCATACTCGAAGGAGCCAGGAAGTTGCGGTTTTTCTATCTGCTGCATAATCTTTGTGAAGTGGATGTGGTCAGAATTTAGGATTTGTGGGTAGGAAAGTGAAAGAGAGGTCCATGTGAGGAACAAGGAAGCCAGGTGTCCGCTCTGAACCCCCAATGAGTCTAACACCTGAGACATACAGAGTCTTAGCGTGGCTGAGTAACAGTAGCTGCTTACCTATAAAAAGGGGTCTTGCTGGTATCAGTGTTTGTGTGACTATGTAGATATGTCACACTCCTGAGAGTCGGTTCCACCAGGGCCCAGCATACAGTAAGTGCTCAATAAATATCTGGATGGGCCTGTGGACGTAGCTCAGTTGATAGAGTACTTGCCTTACATGCAGGAGGCCCTGGGTTCATATCCCAGGACTGCATAAACCAGACATGGTGGTTCATGCCTGAAACTCCAGCACTCAGGAAGTAGAGCCAGGAAAATGAAGAGTTCAAGGTCATCCTCAACTACATAAGAAGGCCAATGGTAGCCTAGGTTATGTGAGACGCTTTCAAAAAATAAAAGAAAAAACGATCTTTATATGAATGATGGATGGATGTCTGTGTGTGTTTCTGTGAGAAGCCCCTGTGTATGTGAAGGTGTGTGAAGGACGGACAGAGGTTTGTCACTCCCCCCCTCCGGCCCCCAATCCTCTATAAGTCCTTTGACTGAATGTCTGGTGTGGGAGAGAAGCTTCCTCCACCCCCTCGAGTCCTTATAGCCAGGCAGGGTGAGCAGGCAGGGTGAGTGGGCCAGAGCAGGGATCTGCGTGGAGCTGGGGAGCCGACTGGAGCTGGGGAGCCACAGCAGGGCAAAGTGGGAGGGTGAGCCGGCAGTTGCTGCTGTCTCACTCAGCAGAGCCTTTTTGTCGTCGCTTAGAAGGCGGCACCAGGCGGCGGGGTAGGTTGGTGGGTAGCCCATGGCCTTCAAGCTTAGCCTCAATGAGGTGGCTGGCCAGGGCGAACTCCTCATCATCCAGCATGCCGTCTCGGTCGACATCACTCAGCTTCCAGATTCGCCCCAGCACGGAGTTGGGTAGCTTGGTGCCCACCATCCAGGTTTTGGCCTTAGAGCCACTCAGCTTGCCATCAGCAGGCGCTAAGTTGTAGAAGATTTCATCGTATTTGGACTTGTCCTTGGTCACCACCCATTCAGCATCATCTTCTGAGCCCTCCTCGCCATCCTCTATGGCTTCGTCAGGGCCCCGCTCCACGAAGGGGCCCATGCGGGTGCCCTCAAATGCACCACCCTGCACTCCAGCCTCGACACTCTCCAGCTCCTCTTGCCGAAGCAGCGGCATAAGCTTGGCAATGTCATGGGTCAGCATCTCGTCCAGTGCCTCCAGCAGCTTCGGCTTTAGCGAGTGGAACTTGGTGAAGTCATGTGCCATCAGCAGCTCCTGGTGGGAAAAATGGAAAAGCTCACAGAACAGGGGCACGATCACAAGGCCATGCCCTCAGCTCCTCACTGGGGGATTCTAGGCCATGCCCTCAGCTCCT